CTGAGCCAAGAGGGAAACAATAAACGGAGGGGAGCCTGGACTTTTCCTTCCCAAGGGAAAGGACTACATGGGAACAAAACGGAGGAGGGCTCCCTAAAAGGCCACGTGTGACTCAGCACCCAGGCCAGCTCTCCAGAACAGGCCTTCCTGGTTGCTCCTGGCGCCTGCTCCTGCCCACCTCCCCAAAGTGCCTGCCACATACTGCAGTTCTGCTCCAAGCTGGAGATGTCAGGTGCACCGCCGGCTTGTTACTGAGTGAGGGTCTTCATGGCAAGTGTCCCTCCCCCCAGTGTGGGGGGGCCAGGGACAGGTGTGCTGGGAGAACCACTCAGGCTCTGTAGGGTTCTCCATGTCAGGCAAGGGTCTTGCCACCCCCCACCCATCTTGTGCAGGGCAGGGTTGTGGTCTTATCATCACAAACAACTTTGGCACCAGGATCCCCCGCCCCCCACCTAGAAACTTGGCAACAGCCTCTCCAGCACCAGGCCCAGCACTGTAGCTGGCCCAAACCACTTTCAGGAAAGGGGCAGGTCATCTGGAACCAAGAGAGCTGGATCCAGGTGCCTACCTGGCCCAGTCAAATGCTGACGAAGACCTCCCTGTTGAGTACACACAGTGTGGTGTTCGGGAGTGCTGGGGAGAGGCAAGTCCCCATCCTGTCTCAGGATCAGAGAAAGGAAGGGTATGCCTCTTCTAGGTGTCAGGTGCCTGCTCAGACTCCCTCTAGAAGACCAGACAGGCAGACTACATCTTCCCCAAAGTTTGGAAATGCAGAATCCCACTAAGTCCAGGGTCCAGCACATGTGCACAGTGCTAAGAATCAGAGAGGAGGACCTGTAACCAAAAATAAAAATCCACAGCCTCCAACTTCACTGTGGAAGAAAACAGGCAAAAACCTGTATAATTAAGAGTACCAGCAGACTCCAAGGGCCGGGGTTCTCCTGGAACACCAGCTCCCAGGAGGAAGTCAAGAAGCAAAACCGCATCGACACTGGAATTACTGACTTCTTAACTTCTCAAGCCCAGATGTCCAACAGGCCAACCCAATGCCCTCTACACCAGGAAGGTCTGGCTCCTGCTTCTGATGGTCTACAGCAGTTTCCTACAAGAACACTCAGAACAAGGAAGAAAGCTGTAGTTAACAATGCAGGCTCCTGTATCAAAAGTGAAAACACGGTGCTCTTCCATTATCAGGACCTGGGAACAAGAACCCGGGGCTCTCATGAGAACAAATGTTCCTTGGTGGTCGCCTACTTGGGCTCACAGTAGGGTGAGACGTGTGCACTGATGTCAAGCTGAAAGCACCCTGGACAAGTCCTTGGCCCCGTCTCGTTAGGTGGCCAAGAGTGCTTGGCACCCCTGCCCTCACGCGTGCTGCTGCAGAGCTACTGGAAGCTGTGGTGGGCTCGTCTCCCCTGCACTCAGCACAGTGCAGCTGCTGTGTAACGGGCCACACCTGATCAGTCCTCACGGGTTCTGCTCAGCTGGGTGGTTCTGGCTCAGGGGCTCTGGAGAGCTGCACTTAAGGAGGTGGCCCTGGCTGTGGCCATCTGCATGCTCATCTGGGAAGGTCACCATCATGACAAGCGCAGGCAGGGCTTGGGTTCTCACAGGCTTCCAGACACAGAGCTGCAGGCCCTCGCTAACTGGGCTCCTCCTTGTTTCTTGCCCCCCAGGTCTCTCTAAGAAGGTCACTTGGTCGATCAAAATGTGCAGGCCAAGAAGGCCACAGTGTCTCCTGGCAGGATGGAAGTTGCAGTCTTCTGTAACTTAACCACAAAGTGGTTGCATCCCCCAACATTGCCATATTCTGTTGGTTAGCAAAAATTTACTCGAGGAGAGGGAACTAGAAGAGGTCACAAAAAAGCAGGAGGTAAAGACCAGGGGCCATCTCTATCTCAGGGGCCTCCTGGATTCCATCCATGCTCCTCCCTGGCCCCGCTCTGTGACCCCAGTCTTGAGGGCCTTCTAACATGTACAAGGCCCTGGGTTCAATCCCTGAGTCGGGGGGAACCTAAAAATCAGTCTGACCCTGATCTTGAGAAGCTAGAAGTAGGAAATGGTCAAATAGCAGGGGGAAAAAAATCAAAATTAAAATCTGAGCTTTTGAGAAGACCAATAAAATTAATAAACCTTTAACCAGACTTATCAAAACAAGAGATAATGCAAACTACCAATATCAGAGAAGAGGGAACATCATTACAGATCTCATAAACTTTACAAGCTACCAGAGAATAGATGAAAGTCATTTCCATTCCTCTATGTAGAGATGAACCATCAGAAGTTGAAATTAAAACAGTGTTCACAACAGCATTAGTCATGCTCAGGGATAAACTTAAAAAAGCAGGATAGATGTACACATTGTAAGCCACAAAGCACCCTGAGGAGAAGCCAGACCGTAGAGGTACACAGAGGACACCCATTTTCAAAGACTGCAGGACTCGCAATGTGTCGATTCCCCCTACACTGACTGACAGGTTCGACTTGGTCCCAATGAAACCCGGGAAGCTCTTCTATAGGGATGGGCGGATGGCGTCACAGCTCCTGTGGGGATGTGGGGTCCCAAGACGCCCAGAGGGAGCTGTAAAAGGCCAGGGCAGGTCTCCTCCCAACCCCAAGCTGCAGCGCAGAGCCCGTCGGCTCCGGCTCTGGCACCAGGCACGGACACAGGGGGGCTCTCTGGTGAGAGGGCAGTCAGAGCCAACCCAGGGGAGGACCGCGCGGGAACCGGTGTGTCTGCCATGGCTGGATCCCACACGCCGGAGGGAGGGGGAGTCCTCAACGCTCATTGCGAAAAAGTGAATTCGTGGGAGAGTTCAAACTGCGAAACATCTAGAAGGAGAAGCTGAGAGAAAACCATGACCTTGGGCCAGGCAAAGATTTCTTAGTTTAAAAAGAACAATAAAGGGAAAGAATTAATATGCCAGATCTCATCAAAATCAAAAAGTGCTTTTTGAAAGACACCAGGAAAAAAATGAAAAGGCGAGCCCCAGCCTGAGGCAGACCTCTGCAGAGCTGCAACTGCTGCAGGGCTCCGGTGAAGGGGCCAGGAGAGGACAACCCCAGCAGACCCTCGCTGGAGGCCACCAGGATGACACAGGAGCACCACCCACCAGGGGGATGCCAAGGGAACCACAGGAGATGGGGTTCCTGACAGAGGGCCAGCACCGAGGGCTGCGAGGGTGGGGGAGCCAGCACTGTGGTGGCCACACTGCTGCAGACTCAGTCAAGACCACGGAACTGTCCACTCAAGAGAGAAACTGTCCCCAAATCCTGAAATAAACAACCCCTAATGTGTGAGAAGTCCAAGAAGTCGTGATTCGGGGTTTAAGCCCTAATGCACAGACCCTGCACAAAGAAGACCTGGGAGGGAACATTTGCTCATCAAATCCAGTCATTTTCTCAGTAGTTGGTGTGGTACAACTGAAGGACGCACCACTTTCTAAACCAGCGTGAAGCTCCCAGGATTTCCTTGCTGCACGTCCCTATACGCCAAAGGGGCTTCAGTGTCTGATAGGCCAGGCTGCAACCCATCTACTCCCTCCCTGGGACCAGCCTCAAAGGTGGTGGGCTTCCAGCCCTGCACACACCAAAGCCCATCTTCCCTCAGGCCTAGGGACCTGCTGCCCTGGTCCCTCTCCTGTGGAGAAATCAGCAACCCCACCACCAAAGAGGGTCTGCATTTCATTCCCTTGGGGCTTTTGATACCAGGAACTGAACCCAGGTGTGCTTAACCACTGAACCACAACCTCAGCCCCGTCTATATTTTATTTTGGGACAGGGTCTAAGTTGCTTAGAGCCTTGAGGTTGCTGAGGCAGGCCTTGAACTTGAACTCTCCTGCTTCAGCCCCCCCCCACCACCACCACCACCACCACCAGTCACCGGGAGTAAGGCGTGTGAGGTTGCACCCAGCTCCCTCGGGGCATTTTTACAGTGATGCCGTGGACAGCTTGCTACACAAAGTCAGAGGTGGTGTCCTGTCCACCCCAGTGCCTTAGCATGGCAACACCCAAGGGATGAGAAAGGAAATGAAGAGTCATCACAGGTCACGCTCCGCAACTCCCAGGCCCTCCTGCCGCACGCCTGTGGGCTGGCTGGCCTGCTCAGCACAGGGCCCACGGGGCAGTGCACTGACCCAGGGGTCACGGCAGAACACTGCACTGACAGATGGGGCGGGGCAGCGGTAAGGAGCTCCATGGCACCTCAGGCTGCTCTCACACATGGGGACAGAAACCTGGGTCAAGCCCAATGACACTGGGGCTGCCACTTGCAAGGGGAGGAGCTGCACAGCTTCCCACTGCACTGCACTTCAGACCTGCGCTTGTCGCATACAGTGGGGCGGAAGCGGTTCCCGCAGAGCACCAGACTTGTGGTGAGAAACTCCCCCAAGCGACTGACCTGTACACATGTGGCCTCGGGCGTGTGGGGTCACAGAGCAGAGCTCGGGCCTCTACAGTCTTGTCCTCACCCAGCCCTCTCAGGAGGCCAAGGAGTATGAAATTAGAGATTCAGACCTTCCTGGGACCAGGAGGAAAACCCAAAGTTCTGACATAACTTCTGGAGCCCAAGACTCCCCAGGGGCATCTGTGGGGGACACCTGCTCTTTCCACTGTGCCAGCGTCCCTCTATGAACCACAGCACTTCTGGAAACAACTGCTCTTGGCAACTTGCTCTTGGAAGTCCACCCTGATCCCCATGCCAGGCACTGCTGTGAGCACGCGCCCTATCCCCGCGGGGTCAGTCTGTGCTTCCCCACTTCAGAGGCGAGGAGCCCGAGCGCGACAGAGCCCCGGCTTGCAGGGGAGCCCACTGCCCTCAGCACTCAGCCTGCTCCAAACACTACCTGTGGCTCTGACAAACACAGGGGCCCACGCCCCGCCTCCAGCCAGGCTGCAAACAGGAGAAAGCCCTGAGGGCAGGTCAAGGGGGAGAGGGCAGGATGTGTGTCAGGGTCACAGCTGTGCTGGACGCCAAGCCCACAGGCAGGAGCAGCACTTACCAATCTGCAACAGGACAGGCGTGACCAGCGCCGTTTCCATGGCATAACAGAACTCCCTGCCAAACATCACCGCCCCATGCATCACCCACAGGCGCAGGGGGATCCTGTCTATGGACCCCTCGCTGAGGGTCTCCTCGTGGTTCTCAGCCTCGGGGTCTCCGGGCTTCTGCAGGTCTGGCAGGGGCACGGGCAGCTCTTGGACTTGCATGGACTCGGAGTCGGCATTCTGCGGGGCCATTTTCATCACCACCAGATGAAGCGTCAGTGTGTGCTCCACCTACATGGACGAGACGCAGCTCTGCGGGCAGAGGGAGACGCCTCCCGGGGCTCAGGTGCGCTCTGCAGGCAGGCCGCGCTCACACCCCACTCTGCAGGCACAGGGCTCTCCCTCACAGCGGCACATGGCTCGCTGGCTCACTGCGAGCGAGGGCTAAAAATCCATAAGTGCCACTCAGTTAATACCAGTGTCATCGTCATTGCTGAGGAGGCGCTGCGGTCACTTCTCCTGCCACAGAGAGGTGGGAAGGCGACACACACTGGCAGTCCTCTGTGAATCCCCATCGAGTGGCTCGAGGCTCTGCAAGAGGAGAGAGGACGGCCAGTCAGGAGAGTCGGGTGGGCTGTCTGTGCCACCTACCCCCGCCCACCTGCACCTCCAAGGTGTCCCCCAGGCCCCTCCCGGCTGCAGAGCGTATCTGTGCTGTAACACCATCTGCTCACGGGAGCTCCATGCTGGGGGTGGACAAAGATGGGCAACAAAGGGAAGCGGGGTCACAGGAGGCCAGCAGATAGAAAAAGGCCAAATGCCAATACCGTGGCCTCTGTGTCCTGTGGGAGGCGCTGGCAGTGACCCCTGTGGCCCGCCAGTACAGCGATGGGGCGGAGAGGCACAGGGGAGGCACAGGGGAGCCAGGGTGGCAGCTGAGGGAACTGCAGAGGGATTCTATGCGGGCAGAGGAGGGCAGAGGCAGCAGGGAGGATGGAAAGCAGGCTGGGCGGAGGGAGGACTCGCCTGCGCCACCCAAAGGGGGTCCAGATCTCTCCTGAGCCTGGGCTGGCCTGTGTGGGCAGTGGTCCTTGACCCGCCCAGATCACAAGACCAAGGATCATCAATGACAGTTACAGACCCTCTCTCAAGAAATGACACACCAAGTGCCAAACCTTCTGTACCTTCCGGGCATGCAGGACCAGGACTTCCTGCAGCCCCAGCTCTGAAGTCTCCCCAACCCCTCTCCTGTGACCAGCTTGTGAGGTAGGATCTTCCTGGGGACAACTGGTTACAGCCAGGCACTGGCTGCCAAGAAATGACCAATAGGACAGTGCCCTGCAGATGCTGCAGCAGGGCAAGGCCAGCTGCCCCGTCAGGCAAGGTCAGCAGGCACGGCACCCCGCGTTCCTCTGGAGGGGCCTTCAGATGTGGGTTCCATCTGGAGTGCACTAGAGGAAGGGCCCTAAAGTCACAGCCAGCAGTGGGCCCACTTGATGTTAAGACAGTTCTGCAGTTTGATACTTTACTGCTTATGATACGCGTACTTCTAGTAATATCTCATTACTGAAATGTGACTCAATCAGCCTCCCCTTCTCCTGGGGACGGGCTGGGAGCAGGGTGGGGCGGCAGGGCACCCAGGGGTTCCCAGGGACTCGGCACTGCCTCTTCCCACCCCCTTTCTTACTGCACTGAAATTTGAACCCCTGCAAGTGGCCTGCACCCCCCGATTCCTCCTCATCCTCACCCTGACAAACTTCACTGGGCTCCTTTCTGTCACTCAGCCAATCTTACACCAAAATAGGGGCGGCGACTTAACTGCCATCCCCCATCAGAGGGCTGGCTCTCAGGAGTGGACCAGCTGGGCTGCGGCAGGAAGGGCAGCGGTGAGGACTCTCCCAGCAACACTGGCAGCCTGGTCATCACGACCACGACCCCTCCACCCTGCCGGGCAGCCCAGTCCCACTGCCTGCCGTCCTGTTCTTAGAAGCTCGTCCTGACACAACTGCAGCCCCACAGGGGTCTCAACTACACATGTGGTCTTCTGAGAGGAGGCGGCCTTCCGGGTCGGAACCCTGATCTCTAGGGCTCCACCCAGGTCCAGGTCCTAGTGGCAAAGGGAAGGAACCGTCCTGCAGAGCAGCACCTCTCACTGCAGCCGTCCTTCACTGCTGCACCCTGGGGCTGCCCGCACCCAGGAACCGGGCTCTGCCACTCTCACCTTCAGCTCAAGTCACCTCCAGGGTCACCCCTCCTTACAACGGATGGCCCCTGCCTCGCACAAAGGGCTCCCGTAGCTGCTGTGCTTTGCCAGGCAGTGAGAAGCCCCCGCCCCTGGACTCGGCCCCTTGGCTGCCCCCCCCGGCTTTCCCAGCCCTCCTTGTGCACTGCGGGCCGCACGGCCAGAGTCGGTGAGACCTAGCGAAGGGAGGGCCAGGGGGTGGTGGTTGAGGAGAGCTAGCCGCCCCAACCCCCATCTGGAAGAGCTCCTTATGCGTGGTGTGGGTGCCTGTCCCGCACCCAGGAGGAGGAGGATGGGTGCCAGCCGGCCCAAGGTGTCCTGCAGGAGCACCCATGTGCTGCAGAGGACTTAGGCCGGGCGGGACACAGGCTCAGCTGCTGGTAGCTATAATCGCACTTGCTTAGCACCAGGGCCTCCCCAGTGTCTCCTGGTGGCCAGCCTGGTGCCACCACACCATCTGCTTGAATGTGGGTTCCCAGCCCTTTGAGATGTCTCTCCTGTCACACAGCAAGTTTCCGACCTCCAGCGAGCCGTCTCCCCAGGCCAGCGTCCCTGCGTGGGGCAGAGCAGCCTGGAGCACGCTCAGCCCGGGCAGAGCCATTCCACCCCTGCTGCTTTTCCCAGCACTCCCCCAACTGCTCTTCCCCGTGCGTTTCCCAGCACTTGATGAGCATATGAACTTTTAAGAGCAGCCTGACAAACTCTGGGGGAAAAGATTTTGTTGGCATTTTTATGGAGATTCCAGTCATTTTCTAAACCAGCAGGGAGCACGGCAGCTTCCCCGCTGGGCCGTCCTCTGCTGCGCCCAGCACTGAGCAGGAGAGCCCAGCACTCGCCCGCAGGCTCTGCGCATCCATCCGCATGGCCACGGCAGACAGATCTCCAGCCCTCACCCTCCGCTTCCCAGCTGCTCAGTCCACACACACACAGACTAGCTGTCCCTTCACTGAGGGCCTGCATCCCTGCCCATGTGACGGGGGCTACTGATGTTTAGGTTCTAACTTCATAATCAAATGTGCGTTGTCTGAGAATGGACAAAAAGAAAAAGGAAATCCATTTAGCCACAGCTGTCACCATCACCAGAGCATGGGCACCCCTCACTCTCGGGGTGCGCTCCCACAGCAGTGGGTACGGCTCCCACTTCCTCACTGAGGACGCTGCTGGTCTCATCCAACTGACCTGAACTTCCCACAGCCCTCATCTGGAGACTTGACAAAGCCCGCGTGGCATACAGAAGGGATGACTGGGGCACAACAGGGCAGTGGCCGCCACTGCAGGACAACCAGTGGGGCAGTGTGACCAACTCACTGTCCATGAACATGTGGCCACAGCCCGCGCAGCTGTCCCCTCTCAAGAGGCTCAGAGACACCATACAGCACTGGTGTCTCTGAGATCCAAAAAAACACTAGGGTGCTGCCTTTCAGGGTGGGGCCAGAGGAGAATAGCCAAGCCGTGGGGTGATGGCTCTGCCCCCTCGGCAGCTCCCGGCCTCCTCCAGTCGCCCAGAAGGCCAAGTTCAAGAGTCAGCTGTGGCCTCTCCAGGCATCCTCCCGGCGTGAGACAGATCTTCCCCAGCACCCAAGACAGATCTTCCCCAGCACCGAGGGAAGCATTCCCCTGGAACCCACTGCCGCGACTGCCCCGTGCTCAGGGACAGCAGCTTTGCTGGGACCTGCAGATGCACTCAGACAGCAATTGTTCCAATCAACAACTTCCTCTATTGTCCTGCTCTTATAATCTACAGACACGGATGCCAAGCACGTGACTTCCCAGTGTGCTGGGGGAAGGCCACTGTGTACCGAGCCCAAGAAAAGCCAACCGGACAGTGAATCTGCACAGCACCCCATGCTCGGCTCAAGTTTTAGGTGGACGCCATCACTGCAAATTCTTGACAAGCAGCATGGTGTGGCAGTCATACTTCCTTGAAGGTGGTCCCACCAGCTCTGATGCCTCACATCGGGCTGAGGATACCAATGCTCACAGATGTGGACAGCCAGCTGCCCATCATTCCATCATTCAGAGACAGGCACAAGATGGGGTGTGCCACCCTTGGAAAGCCCACGGGGACCACAGAGGCTCCTGGACTTAGGACAGCACATCATCTCCAAATCCCTATCTTAGTGGAAACCTCACTAACCTACTGATCCCAGCTCTGCAGCACACAAAGGATACGTGCTCTCTGGTCGTCACAGGACTGCCCAGAGTGGACAGCAGCATCTTACCAGGTCACTAGCCTGGAAGAGATCAAAATTCAAAGTTTGAAATGTGATTTCTACCTTGCCTGCCACTTCCTCATGTCACAAAGTCAGAAGACGGTCACACAGACCTGTCCTAAGTTGAGGATAGCTGTCCTGTTTTCCGGTAGAAAAGCTGTCAGCTGCTCCCTGACAACCCAGCTAATGTGCGCTAGTCAGCTAGTCCTCCCGTCCATGCACATGGTTGTGGGCAGGAGCAGTGTGGGGACAGCATGGAAGCCAGGGGCCAGGACGCTGGCAGTGTGTAAGGAGGAAACCAAGGTAGGGTGCAGCCCAGCGGGGTGCCTGCCCAGCACACTCAGGGCCCACGTTCAATCCACAGAACTGCAAAACAGCAGCAGCACCAATAAAATTAGAAAAAGAAAACCAGCTTTTGGCTCAAGAGCATAAAAAACATGAAATCGGATCAAGCAACTTCAAAGCACCTTGGCAGGATTGAAACCAGCCGACAGCAGCTCTGCTTACAGCAGTACTTCCTGAATGGCACTTCAGAAACTCCACTGACCCCAACGCAACGTCAGCATTGCCCCCACAGAATGAGAGCACAGCCACAGGCTAGGAGGAAGTATCTGCAGAAGACACATCTGATAAAATATCATCTAAAATACGCAAGGAACTATTACAGTCCAACAATAGGAAAAGGACTTGATTTAAAGTAGGTCAAAGATCTCAAGAGGCAGCTCACAAAAGGGACGTTGCAGATATGCAAATCACACAGGGACCACTCCACATCAGTTTCACCAGGGACAGACAGACCAAGCAGACAGGCCACCACACAGCACTGGGAGTGGCCCAAACCCAGAATGCTAGCCCCACCGGGAGCTGGGGAGGGCCTGGGCCTGCAGGCCCCCACTGACTGCAGGGGGTGCAAAATGGTCTGGCTGCTCCAAACACAACCTGACCAAGGCTGGTTCTGTTTTTTTTTTTTTTTTGAGTGGAATGTCCTCTAATAGTGCAATCAAGATCTGGGTTCCTTGGACTTAACCAAAGGAGGTGAAAACTAGTGTCCAAAAACTGGCACCAAAGGCTTACAGTGGCTACATTTATAGGTGCCAACACCTGGAAGCAACCCAGATGTCCTTTAAA